AACAAGTGACGCAGCAGGTTCGTAGCTTACCACCCACTGGTCCTCCGAAGCAAGCGGCAAAAAAAGGCGGTGCTTTTGTGCCTCGATACCGTTCGACACTCGCAACAATGGTTGATATGTCCGATTTGAAGGATGGTGGTTTACGTGAAATCAACATGGATGAAAGTGTCTTCGGTATTGAATTCCAGTCACATATTACATTTGATGACTTGGAAGAGATTTTTACCCATGATCAACTAGGCGTCAGTAATATGCACTCATACATCCGGTAATATTCACTCATCCGATATATTATTTAATTAGTCCCACAATATAATTTATTTACACATTTCAATGAAAATAATCTAATGTTTATTATGTTTTTATTTAAGGTTGTTGTATGACAGAGTGTTGCGCGGGACTGCATTGTCTAACAGATTCCGTTTCGTGTCTTCCGCCCATTGCAGCGGAATGACAATTGCTTCGGAACCGGAATCAGTTAGACAGCGCTTAGTAGATAGATTCATGTCCACCGGCAATACAGAAAGTCTGCATCTTTGGGCGTATAATACCCGACCAGTAGGGTTAGTTTCTCATTCTTGGTTCATCTAATCTCTGTTTCTTTTGTGTATAGCAAAATTTTCATATAACCTATTGTTTTAATTTATAGAGCACACTGGTTGCTGCTTGCTATCAACCCGATAAGAGAAGTCGTGTATTATCTGAATTCGGTAAATGGTGAATGGACCAATTATCCGGCTATGAAGGAAATCGTTGATTTGTAAGTGGGATCGTTCTAAATATATATTCGTGTATATTTATATATTTTCTTATTTGTGGGATTGATTTAAACATATGCTTTTATATATTTAATAATTAGATCAATACAAGTGTTCCGTAGTCAACGGGACGCACAGGTATCCCGAACTAAATCGAACAACATCACTTGGATCCAAGTGCAGGTACATTACTTTTCACAATTTTGCTTATAATATTTATGCTACTTGGTAAAACAAGACAACTATAGAATCTTATTTGTTTTATTATGTAGTGTCCGCAACAGCGAAACAGTCATGATTGCGGATACTTTGTTTTGAGGTTCATGAAAGAAATCCTTCAGGCGAATCAATTAGAGATTCCGCTCACGGTATGAATTTATAACTTAAGATAATTTCATATAATTTATTACATTTAACTAAATATATCATTTATATTATGTTTTTGTTTTGTAGTACCTTGACGAATTCCGTGCTGCTGCGTACCCGAAGCTTAAGTTGGAAGAAATTAAAGAAGATTTGTGTCAATATTATATTAGGCAATTTTTCATGTAGGATTTGTGTCGATTTGAACTATAATATTATTGATGTAATGATGTATATATATAATTTTGGATATTATAATGGTATTATATTAGTACATATATTGTCTTACTGATGGCTGAAATAATAGCGTCGAAAATATATTACAGGTCAAAAATATATTACAGGTCGAAAATATTACAGGTCGAAAACATTACAGGTCGACTGGGAGGATTAAATTATAGGCTGCACATAAAAATACCTCATTTAGAAACGACAGCGCTTTTAAAAAGCGCTCTTAAAGGTCCACCTACTAAAGCGCTTCTTAGTAAAAGCGCTGCCAAAGACCAGTAAAAAAGCAAAAAAAATTAAAAAAAAACGCAGCCTACAAAAGCGCTTTTGTAAAAGCGCTCTGGTAGGCCCCCCTATAAGAGCGCTTTTTCTGGAAAAAGCGCTCTTATAGGGGGGCCTACCAGAGCGCTTTTACAAAAGCGCTTTTGTAGGCTGCGTTTTTTTTTAATTTTTTTTGCTTTTTTACTGGTCTTTGGCAGCGCTTTTAAAAAGCGCTCTTAAAGGGGGGTCTACCAGAGCGCTTTTTCCAGGAAAGCGCTCTTATAGGGGGTCCTACCAGAGCGCTTTTTCCAGGAAGCGCTCTTAAAGGGGGGGTCTACCAGAGCGCTTTTAGAAGCGCTTTTGTTACCTACGCCAGCGCAAGCTTTTAAAGCGCTTTTAAGCGCTTTTAAAGGCCAAAATAAGCGCTTTAGTAGCCCTTTTTCGTAGTAGTGGATCCTTGCCCCTGGTTCCATAACTTCCCTTTGTGGGCCCTGAATTACTGGGGCTTCTAACCTTGGTGCTCTGGCCCCTAAGTTAGCTTCTTCTCTGGGTAGTCTCTGAATTGGGTCGTTAGCAATTCGTTCTATAACAGGCATGTTTGTTCGAAATCCCGCCTGGTTCTGCCTACGCCTTTCTGTGGGAGCAAAGAAATCTGCTATTCGACTCATATTGTCAGCGTTTTCCCTGTTCGTCACAGTCACATTCTGAACTATTGGGGCAAATATTTCCTGCATGGTTTGCGCTAACACCCCTATCATATTGTGGTTGCTGTCATCCATCAATTGCCTAAAAGCCAACTGGTTATCTGTGGTTAGGATAGGCAACGTGCTATAACCCACTGACCCTTGGTTATTTGTCATAAATTGATTCGCCCCAGACCCAGATCCTAGTTGTGGGGATGAATTCGAAGTGGAATTGTGTAAACCTGCCATAAAAGATGTTGGCATTCCGTAAGAAGAACTTCTAATTCTATTCCCATCGAAGCCGGGTGGTCTAGTTAATGGTGTGGCTAAATGGGATTGTGTTCCTGGTGGTGGAACGAATCCCCCAGGGTAGCCCATAGTTCCAGTATTTCCTAAGATCGAACTGTTAGTTGATATGCCACTTACTCCAGTGGTGGCTATGTTACTGGTTGAAGATGCAACAGACTGTGCATTCGAAGGGATTACACTAGATGTTCCGCTCGAAATGGACGCGTTAGTGCTTGTTGCATGTGGGTCAACTTGGTTTCCTTGTTGATTGTCTGAATTAGACATTTTGTCCAAACGTTTTCTTCTGGATAAAGGTTGGTTGTTGTTGGTTATCTTACCACTTCTTAGGTTCATAAAACAACAAATTTCTTATGGTTCCTACGTTTTTGGGATGGCTATGTCTCGACAATCCTTAATTTTAATATCCAACTATGTGTCCCACTGGGCGTGCCAATTTGTTTCCAGTGATTTATGGTAAACAACCGCTAGTCTTCCAAACTATCGAATAGTCTTTATTAACGCTACTCAATCTCTCTGGTAACTCACAGGATCGACTAGATTGATCCTAGGACTCCTTGGATATTAAAGTTACTCTCACAATCGAACAATTATTCATGGTTGCTATGGTACAAGTGTTTGGTTTATTTCGATCCCTCTCTCTAAGAGTTTAAAATTGTGGTCAAAATGTACGTGAAAACTAGGTTATACGAATAAATGCTAATTGTAATGCTGATTGAAGAGACATATAAAACTGTATAAAAATGAAGTAAATGGTTTCGATTTGCAAAGCATTTAACATAAAAGGTTTCTGGAATGTAGAAGTTTAAAACGTGAAGAAAGCGTTTAGTGCAATTTTAAGTAAAAGGATGCGTTTGAAAAACAATACTTGGAAGTAAAGGTATTGAAAGCGTAACAGTCTTCTGGAATATAAAGTGCTCGAAATATAAAGAAAGCATTAAAGAGTAAAACTTTGATGAAAAGACTTTGAAATGAAAAGACAGTAAATAAAGAAACTTGTAAATGTTATTCGATAAAAAGAAAAGAGGAAAATACTGGAAATGGTAAAAAGGCTTTCATTAAATTAGAAATATACGGTGCTATCATACATACATCTCTCTTGCATTCGTTTCCCTTGCCATGTGGTAGTTTGAATGTTAATGAGTATTTTGTATAACAGATATGACACACCGAAATCCTAATACTAAGACTTCTATTTATACTAATTCGACCCTAACGGTCTTGCTATAGGATCATGCCACGTTTCGAACATGCAAGACAATGCTTCTTTCATCTTTCCACGTGTCCCCAAATGCTCCAACACAAAACTTTCAAACTTTGAAAGTCCCGCTTCCATTTAAATTTTAAATGCTTTAGTGTTCTTCTGTTTCGAACGCTCTTCCCAAACCTAGCCTCGCTGTTGTTTCGAGACCCCTTTGGATATTTTTCCATGATCACCGTTCGAAGCTTCAAGCTTTGACACACTCATTCGAAACACTGCTTCTGCAACTTCGAAATATGGTGTTCAATTCCATTTCGATCAGAACTTTTAACTCTTTTGAATTCTAGATAACATTATCAAAATCTTCAGCCAACAAAAAGTTAGTGTAAAAGAGCTCGTAGGGATGAGGGAAGTCGGTGATACTAAAGAAAAAGAACTTTGTAGTTCACCAATGCCAAAAAAGGAAAGAACAATACTTCAGGAACTCTTTATATGTGCCTTAGCCACATAAGACCAATGAGAAATCTAAAACTACACCATCAACAATCTCCTTGTGAGTTGTTCGAGGCACTATAGTATTTTAAAGTTAAAGACATATAGTTATTTATTAAGAAATTTAGTGCAATACATTACCCACAAGAAAAATATTTAAAAATATTTAATGCATTTGTTTCGAACAAAAGTGACATCCCATCAAAATTCTTCTAATGCTCTTGCCAAGCAGTCGACTTGTGGTATACATGACAGACTCTCGTCCTACAAGGCCCAGAGAGATAGGTCCAAAACCGCAATCAAGCGGTAAAACACATGAAACATGCGATCTCTCGTTCATCCATTAATAGACAATTCCTCTCTTTATATATATCGATCATCGTATGATTAAATCCAACTACTATAAACACAACGCAACTCACCTGACTCAGACAATTTAAACCTCTCTCAATATATAAAAACAAAAAAGAGTTATTTAAGATATTCAAATCTATTTTTACTTTCAAAAAAAAAAAAAAATATTACCTCATCATTTGACCAATAATTTGTAGTTCTAAACCGAACAATATATATAATAATTAAACATATAATTCATTAAAGTCAAAATTGAGAAGTCCTAGAAGGGATAAATTTTGATTTAATAAACCCAGATAAACAATCACACACGCATTCTTCAAGTTTGAATTTCGAAGCCAAATCGATACTCCCATGGCTTCTTCTTCTTCGCCCGAGGTTGGTTCCACCTATCACTTTTACTTTCTCATCATTTCCAATTTCCATTTTTCATTTCTTAGGTCTTAGATTCTCTTACTTTTTACCTCGATCATTATCGTTTTTTTCCCGATTAATTATTACTTAAGTCATAATTTCAATCTTATTCCTTTAATTTTTGGGAAAATCTATTCTGTTAGGAAAATATAGGGTGAAGATTAAGAATGGTTTCTTCTGAAATATTCAATAGTTTGTTGCAAATATTTTGTTTGGAATGTAGAGATATAAGGTTGAGGTTGACTTGGTGTTTGCAGTAAAGCTATAGGAAGCTTCCTTACCCTGTCTGTATCAATTTATATTTGGGTGAAAGAGAAATTTTTTTGTATGGTATCTTTGTTAGGAAGAGTTTTTAGGGAAAATGATTATTTACTCATTTCTCAGTCTCAGTCATTACTTCATGGCTGTTATTGCTTGCCTTTTTGTCTACAGTTTGAAAATTTTGTAGCTTCCTTGGTTGCTCATGTAATCACATATAGGAGCAATGTGGAGCTGAGGTTTCTGATAATTATGAGACGACATGCTGGGGTTGTGGACTGCGCGTTATGCTTCCATCGTGTGCATCCATTTTCAAGTGTGGTTGGTGTGGGGCCATTACGGATCATAACAAAAAGAAACGTGACGAAAAGTGCCTTGGGTGGAGAGTACTGCGTGATCGATGCTTTCTTTCTGTTGTCCTAGTATTTATGTTCTTTGTAATATGTAAGTCTCTTTTGTTTCTTCTATTCCTATTTTTATTTGTTGTCGCCCTTCTTGACCAAAGTTGTTTTTATTTTCATTTAGGTCATTTAATTTGTCTATTTTTTGAGGTTGAATTTATACAATCAAATTGGGAGTTGATGGGTGAAAAATCTTCATTTGGTAATAGTAGTTTAGATGATTTCCCCTACAAATATATGTTTGAATCAAAAGGTTTTAAAATCTATGCGAATTGAAAAGAAAACTGAACCAACATAATTCAGAAAGGCAAGGGAAAATGAGCAAGACACATCAAGCTAAACATATGTAACATTGCTACTTAAGAAATCCCTTCAAAATGAAAAAAATGGATCAGTACTTAAAGAAGCCATGATGATCACTTTAGCCCATATGAGATGCAATAGGATAAAAAAATTCTAAAACTCTTCCGACATACGGATCATGTTATTTTTTCCTTTTTTCTTTATCTTTCCAATACAAATATCACTGTTGATAATTGTCATGCTCTATGACTAAATACAACAACAGCAGAATCTATTTCCCCTTCTAATCTAAAACCTGGCTCGGTCTGTTCTCAAGAATGAACACGTTGTAAGCTACAAGCCCCTTATACCACACAGGGGGACACTACTTGACCAAGTCTTAAACTAGGGAAGTTGGACTTGAACTTATTGTACGTGCTCTATGCACTAAGAATAGTCGGAATACAGTAGGAATGCTGCCAAAGTCTTGATAACGTTCTAGTTATCTATCTATAGTCATAGTTTAAGTGCACATTTCCTTTGAATGGACTTCTTTGCAGTAAGGTTTATTGAGCATGTTCCATTTTGTCTTTATGTCAGTCTTCGATTCGGCCTAAAGAGAATGATGGTATAAGAACCCCAGACTAGTTCAGCTACAAGCATCAAACACTAATATCTTGTTTATATCTTATGACAACATTATTTCATTCTTAAATCTGTGTGCAAAACCTTAAACGACAATCATTTTGAAACAGAGGTAGTACAACACCTTAGTAGGTACTGTTAGCATCACGATATCTGTCAAGTCTCCTTTCTTGTAGCTAATAATGTCGAGGAACTTTAACTTTTGCAACTATGTTGTGTTACTCAAAACTTGAGTATGGCCATTACTTTATGGACTTATCACATATAAAGTGTGGATTGGCTATGAAAAAGGGAATGAATAAGATAGTTTCAGTTGTAATTGATGTTCATCTCGTCATATCTTTGGCTGATGATTGCTTGCTTTTTCTACATTTTTAAGTCAAAATTTAGAATATCAGTTTGTGATTCAGTGTTTGTGTTATCATGGTTCTTCATTATATTTATATTTGTGACATATATTTGATTATTGTATTTTTTGTCATACATATAATTTGTTTGTGCAGTTGGTGGGGTATGGGCAGTGCACCCTGTAGTCTTCTCTGTCAGTCTTCTTTGGGGAATTTTTCACTCAATCGTTACAACAATTTTGTCCATAGCTACAATTTCCTTTTTCAGCCTTGCAGCATTTAGATGTGCTGGAACGCCACCAAATATATTATGGGGAAGCTACCCCACGGTAGGGAAAGATGACCTTGAAAATTATACATTCTGTCACTACTGCTTGAAGCCAAAGTCACCTAGAGCACATCATTGTCGTTCATGTGGAAAATGTATACTGGACATGGATCATCACTGCCCATTTGTAAGTTTCTATTATCTTCTTATTACCGAAATATCAATCTCTGTGTTATAATCTCCACCTGAAATGCATCACACCATTGTTTCCTTGTAATCTCTAATCAAAATTTTATTTGCATACCTTTTCTTCAATAATATAACAATATATCTTAACACAACTCCCTATCTAGGATTGTCTTAGATGTCTACGTTAAAACAAAAAATAACGTAGTTAATAATTAGCTGCTAATGCTAGAGAACTTCAGGAGCTTTCTGTTAGACTTCTGATTAAGGAATATTGTAGGAGATGGGGCAGAGAAGAACAAAACTGACTTTGCTTTAGAATCTGTCGGTGATGTTTTACTAATTAATTGTGGGTCAGTTATGTTAGCTGTTAGTAAGAATTAATAGAAAGAGGGCAGGGTATAGCTGGTTATGTAGAGAAGTTATTGAGTGGTTACCGGAAGGGAGAGACCAAGCTCGCGAAAACTTGGAGAGGAACCCGACTCTAGGCCTTATATCAATTGTAATATTTTTGTATCTGTTTTCTTGTTTGTATACGTAACATTCTGGTTGTGATTATTCCCCAGAATTGTTAACAATAAAGTTAATGTGTTGTTCTAGGAAATTCTATTTGCTACCAGTTTCCTTCGCCTTTCTTGTGTCCCTCAGTGAATTAAATGTTCTATTATTATGATGTTTGAATTGAACAGTTTAGAATGTGTTTGTTTTGTTTTTGGAGATTTTGTTACTCGTGTCCAGATCTCACATATTACTCGGATCATAAATTTCGTTTTGAAAACATTGCCCTGTCTTAATGCTAGCTTGTTCTTTGGCAGATTGGGAATTGTGTTGGTGCAGCTAACCACTACAGCTTCATGTGCTTCCTCATTTCAGCAGTGTTGAGCACAATCTATGTCTCTATAATGTCTGCATATGCTAGCTTGCATATTTGGCCACCATCGTCATACTCCCTCGGAAGCTTAAAGGGGATTACTGGCCGAGATCTAGCATGGAGAGTTCTGAATGAAATTTTTATTGCTTTCCTGAGATCTGCGTTGTTTCTATCGTCTAGAGGACTTCTTCTTGTATACCTGTTTATCGCTAGTGTTTCGTTGCAGATAGGATTGAGTGTTCTTTTATGGCAGCAGCTCTCTTTTATCTATCAGGGGAAAACTTTTCTGAGTAACTTGAGTTCACAGGCAGATAACGATGAAGAAGAAAAGAAAGATTGTCAAAATATTGTTAGATTTTTTGGTTTACAACATTCTGTATCAAGATTTTTGTCAAACTTTCGTGTTACTAGGAAGAGACACGATACATAAGGTGAAACTGTCGTATTTTGTAGTCAATGGCTTCTGACTCTTCTCGACATTTGTATCAAAGTGTTTTTGTATCTTTTCTATAGATAAGCCTGAATATTTCAGAAAACACCACTACAAAATATAGATACATGTTAGCATAAATTTACTTGTTTACAAGAGGTTCTAGCGCGTGTTTGGTTTTGGAGTGACGAAAATTGATTTTGATTTTGAGTAAATTGATTATGTAAAATAGATTTTTAAGAATCACTTGTCTCTTCCAAAACTAGAACTAAACATACACTTAGAAGTGTTAGTCTCTTTCTTGGTTTGCTTTGGCTGCAATAGGAGAGAGAAGTTAGAGGGGCATAACATTAGATGAGATGTGATAATGTGCATCTATGGTAAAGTAAACAAGTGTAGAATTTTGACTCAAATTACACTTCCTGTGCGATAGCTACATGATAAATTTCCGAATGGTGGGGCTGCTATTATCTTTATGCCCTTTTAAAATTCAGAATTTTTATATGTTTATCAGATTTTTCGAGAAATATCAGAAATTTTCAAAATTTCCAATGAAAATACACTGATTTATGGAAAATATTTGAAGAAATATCGGATTTTTCTAAAAAAACCCAATAGTTTCTTGAAAATTTTATATCGGATATGCAAATATAAAAGTGCAAATGGAATGAAAATGATAATTTGAATTAACTGGAATTTAATCAAGTAACACTTTATGAATCCTTTATATCAAGTTATTAGCAATGCTATTATCAATGCAATTATCAAAAGAACAAACGAAAACAATTTATCGAACACAGAACACTAAGTGTGCAATTGAATTTTCAGAATTTTCCTTTGATTTGTGTTGATACAAAAAAAAACACTTATAATTAAAAGTGATTATCAGTGATATCAACACTTAATTCAAAATAAAAACAGTTTGGAAAAATTCTTACGAGTCAATTGATAACGCAATGCTATTAGACAAATTGGTTTATGAAAATAAAACAAGTAAATCAATACAAAAAAGAGACACAAGGATTTGTCTTCACAGTTTCCCAATTTCGTTCTCACGTGTGGGTACGTCTGCGCCTAATTCCAAAGGAATTAGGATAATTCTTACTATGCAAAAAATTGATACAAGAGAAGTGTTCAAGAGCAACTCCACAAACCCTAATGCTTGTTGTTGATTCAACCCATTCTCTTCCTTTGATATTGAGAAAGACTAAAACACAATAGTTTCAAATTGACTATCTGGATCTTGCTACTCCTTTGCGTACTTTATCTCCAAAGATTTCGCACGCCATCAATTTCTTCTATTGAAACACAAGACTTTAATTTGATTCGTTGTTCTCTCGTGATCCTTTACGCTCTTTATCTCTAAAAAAATCCTTTGCGTTCTTTATCTCCAAAGTGCTTCACTTGGCCGCAATCCTCTCTCGAATGTCTTGCACGAAAACCCTCAAATCACTCAATGATCTTGGAGGACAAACCCACGATTTTTTTGGATGAAGACCCTTAGCAATCTCAACCCAATTTTCTCGGCTACACAAGAATTTAATTGGACGTTATTAAACCTCATCTAGATGGCACCCCAACAAAGAATCATTATAATAGTTTGTTAGTGTGTATGCATAGGTTGGAGGTTGAAGATGAAGAGAAAATGTATTCTAATTTTATGGTATCATCAAGTTGTAATGATGCATGAATGCTGTATTTATAGTTTTAGAAATTTAGGGCAAAAAGGACTTTTTCAGAATTAAAAATATTTGAAAATTGACAAAACAATCAGTATGTGTCGATCTATAAATCGTATGTGTTGACACATAAGTTAAGTTTAAGCTGTATATGTCGACCTGAAGGAAGGTATGTGTCTACCATAAATTCGTATGTGTTGATACATAAAATAAGAATTTCTGCAATTTCAGAAATGCTTCAGTATGTGTTGACCTGTGCAATGCATGTGTCGACCTGAGCCTTCCAGAGGCTACAAGCTTCAAAATCGAGTTGCATGTGTCGATCTGAAAATCATATGTGTTGACACATGTAATGAAAATTTATGCAGAAACTTGTTTTTCATTTCTTGGATCAATTTTAAAATTCTTTTTAATGACTCATAAGGCCCTTAATACAAATGAGTGCCACAAGACATAGAGATACCATCTAATGTACAAAATATTAGTTTTTCTTAGTTTTGACATCATGCAAAACATCTAATGACAAAGTTGTACTCACATACTCCTCTTTTTTGATGATGGTAAAACTTGTGATGATACATTTCATGTAGTTATCTAAGGCTCCCTCTGATTTGGATGATGCATTTCATGTAGTTGTCGAATGCTCCCCCTGACTTTGTGTTTCCATAATTCGTCTCGTATATGCTTATCTCCCTTTGACAACATAAAACAGAAAGATAGCAAACTGTGAGAAGTATCATAATCCAATATAAATACTAATGTATCACTCAGAGGAGTTTTTGCATAGAAGAGCAACAATCACATATCCCCATACTAATGTATATGCTTTGTGTGTTTATGTTTACTCGTACATAACATCATAATATCATACCATAGTGTGATACGGTGGGAGAACTGACATGGGTGTTTTGCGTTTTATCACAATTGTTGCAGATAACAAGAGTCGCCACCAGCTTTTCTTTTATCCAATAAAGAAAAGGGTGAAAAGAACATAAAAGACCTTTCAGATATTTTCTTGAGTTCGGGGGGTAGGTTATGAAAAGGGAAGGTGTTAGCACCCTTTTCATTCGTAGTTATCTACGGGCTCTTAGTTGCTTGCTAGATCATTGGAAAATGCTTTGTTTGGAAATGTGTTTTGTGATGGGTGCAAGTTTGAAAATATTTTGAAAACGCCTTTGTTTCGGTAAACTTTGTAATGATTCTCGTCTCTATAAGAATGTATACAAAGTGTTAGTTTTAAAAATAGTTCAAAGAGATGTTTTTTGAAGATGTTTTTGAAAGTGTAAGTGTGGAAATAGTTTTAATTTACGAGCAAGCAACTACGAGCGTCCTACCTACTCAAAAGGTCTATGTTATTTTCCTCCTCCTTTAGATGTTGCTATCTTACCATTGATTTGGTAAGAAGCCCTATCGTTAGATGTGAAGGGACAGGCGTGGGTCATTGTATAGTCATGAATGACAATGTTGTGAGATATCTTAGCATTTCTCTTAAGGGACTAAGATCATTTGTAAAGCAACATTCCTAGCGTCATCGAGGGGCTATGATCTTGTATTTTGATTATTCTTGCTAAGATGGATCACATGCACATCATGACTATTTTTCTCAAGGCAACAAGTAGAGTTAACCCTAGAGGTGTAAGCATGCAAGTGTTTATTTTTCACGCATTGTCTTGTCTTGGATTAGGATTTTCTAAGGTAGATTTTTTATCTTGCCATACACACCCTAATTACTAACATTTATGAAAACGGTACAATTGAGGAAAATAAATGTTCTACGCTATTACATCATTTGGGGGGTGGGGAATACAAATGTACAAATGGGGATTGCAAGAAATTAAACCTAATTATTTATTACAACAATATTGAATAGCTATGAAGCAAATATATGAAATATGTAAAAAAAAAATAGCACAAAAGAGAGAAAAAAAATCTTTTGGCATCATGTGTCGAATCACACACGAATTTTCCCTTCTGTTTGGGCCTGTAAAGCAGTATGCGTCGAAGCCTAAAGCTTTGTGTCGAATCATGTTGTAATTCTTTCACTCCAACATCATTTTATGGTTTGTACAAGTTAGTTCTTAACATATAATTGACAAGAAATGAAAACAAACAAAAAGGGTGGCTTTGAAGGAAATGATTATTACATGTTATCTTCGAAGATGAATCATCAATGATGCTTGAAACAAAAGGTTTAAAGTCAAGAAGACTTACCTTGAAGCTGGAATTTGTGTTTCGAACTTGAGTTGCTACCTTGAATGTTCTTGGGTTTGAAAGAAAAGAACAGAGGTGTTGTGTTTTTTTTGTTCTGGATTTAAGAGTGTTTTAAGGCTTCAGCCTTCGTGTTCTCTCCTCTCTCTTTTTTTTCTTCTCCTTTTTCCTTTCTAAAAGCCCCCCTTTGTATGTTGTGAAACAACCTATTTATAGAAGAGTCTTGTTGGGATTTTGGGGGGGAAAACAAATAAAATTCAAACTGTTTGCGTATGCTCTTCCATTGCTTTTTTATGCATCTCTTATATGCTAATTCTGTGAAAATATGGGGCTGAGATAATGCAGGCTTGGACTAGATTAGAAGCAGTATAACAGGACTATTTTGCAGCAGTTTTGGAGTGTTGTGGAAGCTTGGTGCAGGGCTGTCTCATAGAAGTACAACAAACTATTTTTTGACATGGTTTTAGACTGTTATGTGGACAGTACAACAAGCTTAGGCTTGGCAGCATATAGGACTTTGTTCAACAGTAGTCTGGACAACATTATTTGTAGCATGACACTAGTTTGGTTTTAATCACATAGATTCACAACCTTCGACCAAAATCATCAACAAACAAAACAAATATTTGTTTCCACCAATTGTATGTTCTTCGAATGGAACACGCAACCTTCGACCAAACTCATCAACAGACAAAACAATATTGTTTCCACCAATTGTATGTTCTTCGAATGGACCACACAACCTTTGACCAAACTCATCAATATACAAAATAATATTGTTTCCACCAATTATATGTTCTTCGAATGGACTACATTCATCTGAATGTACCACTTACTTCATCCTTTCATTTTGATCACATAGATCCATAACCTTCAACCAAACTCATCAACAGATAAAACAATATTTGTTTCCACCAATTGTATGTTCTTCGAATGGACCACATTCATCTGAATGTACCACTTTGAGTATTCAAGATTATCTCATTGGCATAGTCGAAACGAAAGAATTTCTGGATTGCTCTCCTACTAAACAAACTTCACAAATTTTTTTCAGGCATCTCAAGACTTGGAATACCAGTACCCATATCCTGAGTAATTAGTTGATTAAATGGT